ACGCGGATACCAAAGGTGTCTAGAATGAAGGAACATGTGATTTTATAGCGTTCCAGACCCCTGATCTATGTCCGGCCATCCCATTGCTAATTTTTAATTCATATAGGGTCCCTTCATGTAAATCGAAAGACTATTTTTTAGAACTCGAGCAATTTTTTCTCACCTACTCAGGCTCGGGGGAAAGTACCACATTAGGTGGCGATCCCAATTCCAAATTCAATAGTAGAGATTTGTCCGCTCTGTTGAGCACATTCGAGTTGCATTATACAATTTCTAAAATTACTACTATTCGAAATTAGTCAGTCGATAATATTTTTTACCCAGAATTATGGCATTCTCCTTTTGTACGACATCATCCTCCATTAGGGTCATCCATCCATCATACCCTCTTAGCAGATTTTTCTTCTGACCACACCACTGCCGAAAAGCCCCTTTTTTGATTCACGATTTCAAGAATTGTGACTGGCCTCGACTGCTAAATAGTCTCTTCGAAATTGGACAGGAGTTTTTTCTAGAGAAAGATCCTGAAAACCTCTGTTCTATATGGACTCGACACGTTCATTTTCATATTTCTTAAACGACTCCTTGAAAATCTGTTGCTCGAAATATGAATGAAATAAAACCAACGTCGCGCTCACTGCGCAAGCTTCTAAGAAGAACGAGGCTTTTCGCCAGGCTAAACGAGCTCTTTCTTCCGCTAAAAATTGAAATTTAAAAAACTACGCAGTGAAGTAACAGCAGCTCTTCGAAAAGAAAGAAAAACAAAGCAGGAGGATATTTTTCGCAAATTCAAGGACCCTTCCACCTGTTGGCCAGAAATCAACAAAATGAGAAAGGAGTCATGTGACATCCCTGCTACAGTCATTTTCGGAAATGCAATTGCGAGAGATGATACAGCGAAGGCAGAGGCATTCAGCAAACATTTTTCAAAATCATTCTCTACCTTAGAAGGATCTCCTCCTAAACCACCTCAAACTCTGCCAAAATTACTCTCTTTCGAATTTTAATTCCTGAGATTTGCAGTACCACCGAGAGCGCGAATAATTCAAAATCAACGGGAGTCGATCAGTTAAGTGTCGAACTTCTAAAAAAGACTTCTTCAATTATTGTCCCTCAATTACAACATCTTTCTAATCAGTCAATCCAATCAGGCATTTTTTTGGAGAGCGGCAATTGTTAAGCGCATTTTTAAGAAAGAGGATAGATCAAAAGTTGAGAATTACCGTCCAATATCTCTACTGTCTAACGTTAGCAAGATATTTGAGAGATTAATTTTCAATCGTCTAGTTCTCCATCTTGAAAAAAACAACTTTTTTAACAAACAGCAATTTGGCTTTCGAGCAAATTCATCCACTGTCGATGCACTCAATTTTCTCGTCAGCCGGCTCTCGTCTTTCGCAGATAAGAAAGTAAAAATGGCTGGAATTGCATTTGACTTTATAAAAACCTCTGATAGAGTTCCTTACCAAATTCTGCTTTCAAAATTAAATTCGGCAGGTGTTGATGAGAGACTTTTCGACTGGTTTGGTTCATATCTTAATGGGCAAACTCAAAGGGTAAAAATTAACAACCTCCTTTCCCAAGTAATATTAGTAACATCTGGCGTTCCGCAAGGATCGAATTTAGGCCCCTTGCTGTTTTTGATATTCATAAATGACATTGCAGAATTATTTTTTTATGATTTTAAGTATTCATATGTCGATTATGGTCTAAGTATATCGAACTTTTGTTAATCTACTGTTTTGATGATCAAACCGAAGACTTACTCCAGTGTACTTAGCGTTATTTCTTCTTCAGAGGACATTCGTTTCTAAATTGATTGAAGTAATGTTGAGTTGCGAAGAATACGTGTAGTTTTTAAACGATATTTATAGTCGTGGATTAAATAACTTAACATATATATATAGAAATTTTTGAATTCTGTTGTGTAAGAAAGAATTATATACGCAGAGGCTTTTATTGATGAAAAAGAAAAGGAATATGTTATAAAGCGAACCTCTAAGTAATTTATGTGCTGAATGAATAATAAGTGTTTTTGACATTATATTTTATAAAAGAAAGAATGAGAAGAGGCTTGCATACCAAAAACAACTGGTAATTATTAAAATCGTTAATTGTCTCGCAATTTTCGAACAAATTGTCTTAGAATTCTATCAAATATCATCATGAATGTGGAAATTATAAAGTTTATCCACCTGCTAAAAACGATTATTCAGCGAACTAAATTTATTGTCAATTTCGGAACATAATCAGGCATATGTTCAGCTATTTAATATCTGACAGCCAAGGCTGAAGGTCATATCATCATCGTATGTGATTTATTCTTTGTTGTATATAGTGTGAATGCTATTATTTTCTGTTTGTAATTGCATCACGTTTCATTGTATATCTTGTTAGTTTTAGACTTGGTCTCTTGGTTAAAAAGCAAATACTTATAGACGTTTGCATCGTATTCTAGGTAGTTTTATTGTTTACGATACAAAATCACATTTGAGCAAATGTCGTATTCTACCCAACGGCTTGTCCAGCTAACGGTATCCTTTTATCGCTCTTTTTCAAAAGATTGTTGCAGTAAAGCTACAAACTAATCCAAAATTGCAACTACATAATTAAGTACATTAAACATTTCTCTACAAAATGAAAAATGTCTTGGCTCTAAATGTTGATTAGTTATGAAAATACCGCTGTCGTACAAATAGTCCCAAAAATTCAGAGCCAAGACATTTTTCATTTTGTAGAGAAATGTTTAATGTACTTAATTATGTAGTTGCAATTTTAGATTAGCTTGTAGCTTTACTGCAACAATCTTTTGAAAAAGAGCGATAAAAGGATACCGTTAGCTGGACAAGCCGCGAAGGAGCAATAGGTTCTAGATTTATATGGTGAGATTCTAATTTTATACGAACGATGCCTTTGGCACCGAAATAAATTCGGAAGTGAAAATGTCACTTAGTTTAGAAAACAAGATGAGGTATATATTTAAAAAATATATTTATATTATTTACACAAACTGTTTTTTGTGTATTATATAAATATGCTTTTCTTTGATATTGATAGTTTCGTTTAACAACAGACGCATCTGAACTAAAAATCTTTAATCAACATTTAAAACACGTACCTTACATGTCTTTCGCAGAAGTTATTAAAGCAGGAAACGCTGTACATGTTCACTTAGGTTTAGGGGTGGCACTTTCCCGTTATCGTTACTGTAACGGGTAATAGAAACCCGTTACCTGTTACCGGTAAGGGTAACGTACACCCGTTACCTGTTACAAGTAACGGCAACGAAAATCCGTTACCTGTTACCGGTAACGGGTAATGGAAATCCGTTACTCGTGTTACTTTTGGAAAGTAACGGGCGAATTATTTTTTTTCGGGTGAAATAACCTTTCGATTATTTTGTTAACCCGTTGAAACTCATAGAAATATTGAAGTGAAGGACAGATTTTTGTTGCTTCGGTGATCCAAGCACATTCGAATGTACAGAACTCGTGTAGGAAATAGAGTCTGGTATAGGTTCAGAATTATGAAACAGTGGATTTTTTAACCCCAGCAAAAAATTTCAGAACTTCTTCTTGAAATAAATGCTTCATTCTAGTGATTTACTGCTTATATCTTTCCTAAATGAACATAAAAATTATTCAGCGCAATAGTACATGAGGCTTACAGAGTTACAATTCATATCACCGGACTTCGAAATTCTGAAATGCGATTTGAGTCCGGAGGAATGCGGATCAGCATGGTCGATTGCCTCTGGGTCCATAATTTTAGTGCGAGGTACTTCCGAAAATTAAATTCGGGAGCCTTAAAAGTAATTTTTTCAAGGTAGAAATATAGTTACAGAAGTTTAATAACAAAATAAATAACGGGTCGAAACAAGAACAAGAATCTTTTACCGTTACTTTCCGTTACTTACTGTGTAAAGTACTGGATTTTCGTTACCGTTACTAGTAACTAGTAACGGAAAACTGTTACTTTTCGGAGTAAAGTAACGGAAAGCAACGGGAAAGTGCCACCCCTACTTAGGTTTAAGCGGCGAAGTATTTAATTCTCAAACGCCGCTGTCAGACTTCGTTAAGTTTCCTATTAGCATATCTTGTAGAGCTTTTCAAGACGCATAATATGATGTATTGCACTGGGGTAAGTATTGAATAGTTACAGGAAAATTTTGATTTTACAGTCATATTGATAGTGCTAAGGGGTTGTTTGTTTTCTAGTAGATTCTGTCGGATATGTTTGACTGAAAGCGCTCGAAAGAGTCGAAGTCATCGAATGTGATGATTCTGGTGAGTTCTGGACAGGCTGGAGCGCTAAAAGTTGTTGGGTGCATTACAAGTCTTGTGCGGACTAGTCCTTCACAGAAATAGTCCAATATTAATACCCAACCTTTATCTCTAACACTCGGTACATCCTCTCTTCATGAGATAAATCTCTCTCACCAAATAAATCGTTTCCCATAATAGAAGACCATGTGGTCTTCTATTTTGTCTCGCAAGTCGAGTTCTAAAGGGTGGTCTTCCATTGCGGTCAAATTTTGTCGCCTGTTAGTAGTCCAACGGTAATCCCACGTACTTGAAGTTCATCCGCTACTAGAAGTATGTTTTGGCGTAATTTTTTTGAAAATTCTGCTATAGGTAAGTATAGGACATTTTCCGATTTTTTTTATTATTGGTTATTCGTTTCTAGCCAGAATTTGAAAAGAATTTTAGAATAGATATGACGGAAGAAAGTCTTTAAAAAGTCATGAAAGAGAAAACTTTCGATGTTGAATGGATATCTGTCAGATAGGTGTTGGTAACATACCTTTTTTTATGTCTTTTCTTACTGTTTTTCTGTTGTTAAAGGAAGAATTATTGGTTTATGTTAAATATTGATGATATTGGATACATATTTCGTTTGTTTCTCTTCAGATATCATTTCTATTCAATTTAACGTTGACACAATTTTTCTCTTTTATTACTATACGCTTTTGCAAAGTTCACATTCCATAAGATTCGAAAATGGCAGAAGATGTCGATAATTCAGAGACAATAATACGAGCATGTGAATGTTATTCAGAATATTGTCCTAAGTGTTATCCAGTATTTTCACGCAAATATATTTTTGAATTATTATTAAAGCTTATGTTATATATATTTGGTTGTTCATTGTTTTCAAGATTATTAACATTATTATTAATATTACAAGCAGCTGCTGTATGGATTGGTTATTCATTAAATGTTGTTGTACAACTAATGTTTATGCCATTTTTACACTCTAATGATAAATCAATATCAAGGATTAATTTTATATTTTTTCTGTCATGTTATTTTTTACTACCTGGTATTATATCATTTTCATCCCATTACTTTTGGTTTGTTATACAATTTGGTTTTCATTGTTACACAAATGATGAAGTTAGCCAAAGGCAAATTTACGACGAGGCAATACATATTTGTCAATGTTGTTCTAAACGTGCACAACAAATAAAATTAATAGATAAAAAAGATGCTGACGATAATGATGACGCTTTATTATGTTTTCCACAGAAAAAGTTTATGTATATATCTTTGAGAGAAATTTATCGCATTATTATTACATTGTGTACGATCGGTTATATTATATTTTATGGTTCTCAAGATTTATTACATTGTCTAATAACATCATTAGGTATTATTCCATTAGGATTAATGTGGGTTTTGCATATAATGCATTTATTTGGTATTTGTTCTTTCGTTATAAAAAGTCTTCATGCTAAAATAAATAATACTGATTATTTTCAAAGTTTAATTGATGACATTGAAATGAATTCCGATATAGAATATTTTCGTATCATTGTATTATTTTCAACAGTAATAATGGCAACTGGTAGCAATAGACAAATGACTATAATGGGATTAAGTTTACCATATCATGTAATAGTTGTACTTCTATTATTCTCTGTTTATATTTTACTGTATAATCAAACTCCAGTAAAAATTATTCATATTGGTAGTAATAAAATATGTTGTTGCTGTTATAATAAAACATCAACAATACAAAAGAATTTATTTTATACACATAGCTTTTTCGTAAAATTGATTAAAAGAATTATTCAATCATCATTAACAATGAAGAATAACAAACTATTTCATACATATAAATTATTTGTATTAATTATTCTTTATGCAATGTTCATATCATTACATTATATGTTTACACAGTTTTCTAATGAAAATACATCATTAATGGTGAACATTGTAAAACCGATTCTCATTCTACTTTGGTTACCACCTCTTTTTAATCAGAAAACAAATCAATGGATTATGCATATACAAATGATTCTTCTACAAATTTTGTTACTTTTAATGTGTTTAACATCACTTATGGGTATTCTAGTTTTATCGTATTTTTATGCATTCAAAAGCTGTATAGCGTTAATTTCTTTATTTTTTCTATTAGTTTATACAAGTTTATTATTATTTTATTATGTATTTCATTGGATAAAATATTCATCATCAACAGTTGCCCTAATAAAGTGGAAAAAGAGTCATGAATCGATAAGCATTTACGTGCACACATTTTCAATAATGTTTATTATACTTTCTTTAATTGGATTTTGTGGGCTTAGTTTTGCTAGTTCAGTTTATGCAGAAACAATGAATAATAAAGATAACCCATTGTTAAATCACACAAAATTATCTGGTAATTTTACTACATTTGACAAGGATGAACAACAACAATATCGAATGCAAGCATGCTATTGGAAATTTGGTAAATTTAATATACAAGATATGTCTCTATTGGCTTCATTAGCTTACTTGCCAACAGAACAAATAAAATCAGATATAAAACATTTTTACCCAAATAATGAATTGATCTTCGATGAGCAATTTCAAAATTACAAAGAATATGGCCATGGCCAAATAACTTATTACTCTTTAGATACATCAGAAGCAGTTATTGTCGTTATACGTGGTACTACATTACTCTATGAATGGTTAATTAATTTTGATATTTGGATAGAATCATTGATAAGTCAAATGATTTCAATTTTGTTTCCATGGTCAAGATTATATCCTCGTGCTGTTCATAAAATAATTGTGAAGCAGATGTCATTATTAGAACATTTTATTAGTGATCATAGTAATAAATTAGAACAATCACCCAAACGTTTTTATGTGAAACAAATGATTAAAATCTTAAAACAGATAAATGTTAAATATAAAAATAAATCACTGATATTAGTTGGACATTCACTTGGTGGTGGTCTAGCTAAACTAGCTGGTATTGCATTGAATAATACAGAAGTTATTATATCAATTAGTGGGCCGGGTATATCGTATTCACGTGCTAAATATGATGAAACGCAAAATATTCTCATGGATACAATCAATAAACGTACATTTAACATAATTCATGATCGTGATGTTGTTCCATGGACAGATAAACAGGCTGGACTTATTCAGCAAATGACGTGTCCAAAAACATATAGCAGATTACAATGTCATTGCATATATCCAATATTCTGTAATTTATTGAAAAATTGTGGAAATCCAAAAAGATTTAAAATAAATAAAGAAATATGTCACCCATAACAGTAAAGGACGTATAACTTATTTGCACATCCTTTCTTGATTGAATTTTGTCTAATGAAGACTTCGACGAAGTCTTCATTAGACAAAATTGTATATGCAACAAAACACAATATATAAATCTCTATATGTAATGATATTGTTTTAATCCAAATTGTATTATATTTAGAAATTCATATACTGTAGTTTTGTTGCATGTACAATTTTGTCTAATGAACACTTCGTCGAAATCGATACTGTTACAAATAATTACATAAACTTCTAAATAAATTAAAGGAAGAGTAAAACTTATAAACTTAAAAACACCGCTCGAAAGCAACGATTGTATGCTGTATAACCGTGATATTCTTGGACATCTGTCAAAATTTTACAAAAGTGTGTGAAAAAATATCCTGACGTAGTATAAATGCATAAAAACGCAAAGCATTTGTTGCTCTGTTTTCTTTTTGAGAATTTGATATAATTTTTTCTTTATATTCAGATGCGTTATCATTTCTACATCTTTGTTGTAAATTCAGACTTTTGAAGTAAAAGTCATTCTTCTCATTCGCAGATCATGCTTTAGAAAAAAATGGCATTCGTGATCAATGCATTAAATGAATAATATGTGAAAAGTATACTTAAGAAATAATAATCAAAAAGAACTAGTAGTAACAGTGCTGTTACTTCAGTTAATATACATTACTTGAAGGATTAGTCGACGGCCGAAAATGAGATAACAACTAAGCAGGTGATAGAAATCTGAAAGATACTTTTCATGTTTTGGGTTCCCGGAGATTCTTAATGTTACGTAAGAAAAGTTCTCACGTAAGACGAAAGACGATATGATAATAATGTGGCTCGATAGTTCAGGTGGTTAGAGCGTTGACACGGAATGTCGCGATCCTGGAGTCGAGTCCCAGTTGAGTCATATTTTCTTTCGTTCAGTTGTAACATCATTTCCAAAATGAGAAACAATACAAGGTGTAACATCTGACCTTAAAATTTCAAATCCTGTAACGGAAAAAGATGACTTTGTCATCAGGTTGAGGTCGCATTTCCCTCACTTTTCAGCGTTATGAGAACTAGCGAATATTATTTCCTGAGAACATCTTTTTAACAGTTCTGACAGCTCGGGTGACCACAATAATATGCCACTACATATTTTCATACATCACATATAATCAAAGACATACATTTGTATTAACATATAATACGTCTTGAATCATTCTTTATAACAAATATTTTGTTGTGATTCAAATGATATGAGAAATACACTTTAAATGTTTTCCATATTAATATGCCGATGAATATGTGATAGTTTATAATTTATTCAGCTCATTCAAAACATGTTGTTAAGTAAGTTAGAATTATAGTATCCTACGAGTTATTTCTCGAAATATTTGTTTTTATGAAGGCGCATGACATTGTTTATTCGTTCGACCGTCTTAATCAACGAATTACTTGTCTCATTTTAAGCACACAACTGCATGTTAATTTAATTCAAAAGTGATTACAGTAGAAAAGTTTGATTATTATTGTTCGTCTGTCTTGTGCGAGAAACGATACCAAGACAATATCATTAAAAATTCCCGACAAATATACACTTGGTACAATTCGTCTGTTTAATTCAAAATTTTCTCTTATATCCTTTTAATCTGAAATCGCCGATATTACATATTAATAATGATCAGGTATTGAACGAGGTCATATTGCTGTTGCCCCCATTGAAGTGTAGGAAACAGTTTTCAATAGAAGACCGCCCGTGTTGTCGAAACCGGACAAAAACTGGCCGGGTTATTTCAGCTTAAACCATAGCAAGACAGCAGAAAAACCGACGGTTAACCTCACAATTAACCGGAAAAACGGTCAGTTAGCTGCGGTTAATCGACCGTTTTTTCGGTTAATTATGAGGTAACCGCCGGTTCTTAAAATAACCGCAGTTAACCGCCGGTTTCAACAACATGGACATTATCTAACTAAAAATCATAGCAACTCAAATGTAGAAATCTGCAGCTCAGTCACTGAAATGAACAACCTATTACTATGCCGAATCTAATCAATTGTCAGATGTTAAACAATTAACAACTGGTATCTACTCATTCGATGACATTAAACATCTACTGCATCAAACACCGACATTGAAGCGTCTTAATCTTCACATGTCTCAAGACTGTTCTCTTGACTTCTACAAATGAGAAGCCACTCCATACTAAACCCTTCAACTTCGTCGCTAATTGCGCATAGTATAACACATTTCGATTTAAGCATAAAATACTGCAGAGATCCTCTAAACTACAATTTCAACGCCCCTCAGTGCTCACCCATCTCTGGTTAAGAGTACTTGCCGCAACGTTTTATCGCGACTCGAGACGCGACCAGCGCAAGAAGAAGTTGACTTAAGACTGTTATTTCAGCTTCAGTTATTGTCATGCAAGTAGAAATTTTTTATTCGAAACATTAATTTTGTTCTCAAATTCATTCGCATCAATTTTAGAAATCAAAATTCGAGATAATTTAAATTGAAGAACAAACGTCGTATTGTATGTCAACAAAAACATTTGGAGAAGAACACCTGCATATAAAAGTCAACTTGTTTCCCCATTTGAATGCATAAGGGAGCACTTCAAAATTGTTTACTCTTTTGTTTCCTACTTTACTATTTCTGTCTTTTACTTTTTTTACTTCTCTGTTTTTTTGCTTACAAATTCATCGCATAGGCTAAGTACAAATATAACGGCGTCTGTATATGAGTGAATTGCATAGCCATTGTACCACTGGTCACCAGACAATGTTTTTGTTGTGTGTATGTGTGCAAAATATAGTCTCTGTTCGACTAGAAAAACACTCCGTCTTCTTCTTCTTCACTGTTCACAATTTTCATTTTTCGTTTTCACTTTTTATCCTTGTTCAAAACAGACGAAGGAGAAATAACTCCTTCTCTTTTGCATTTTATTTTAATTTTATTTCGCTTGCTTCTGCATATATATACTGTCTTTTTATTAGTATCGCTCATACTTGAAGATTATTTAACAGATTATTTAACCTTGGAGATTTCCTCATAAATAGTAAACAGTGTGAGCTACAAATCCACGTAACCGCGAGCTCAAAACATGCTTTCGTTATTTTGTGTGTACTATCATAGTCCATCCTGCGATTTGTGGTTTTCGCTAAAATAGCTTCGGGGGCTCGGTTGGGGGCACGAGTTCTAGAGGCTTGCTTCACTCAGTATATTTCTCCTATAGTATATTAAAATTTAGAATAAAAGTATATTAAAAGGACCGCGTTAATAATGGAAATTACCTTGTTATTACCATTGAATTCCTCGTGAAAAGTTGCATATCAAACTGATTTTTATTGAAATTTTAATATACTATAGCAGAAGAATACTGATTGAAGCAAGCCGCTAGAACTCGGGGGGCGCGCGGGGGGGGGCGGGGGGGGGCGGGGGGGCGGCGGGGGGGGGGGGGGGGGGGGGGGGGGGGGGNAATAACCCGGTCCCCCCAACGTGCCCCCCCCCCCCCCCCCCCAACCGAGCAAAATTCAGGGTTTTCTGGATTTAGGCTCTTAGTTCACCATCTATTGCAAAATAACGAAACCATGTTTTGAGCTCGCGGTTACGTGTTTTTGTAGCTCACACTATTTACTATTTATGAGGAAATCTCCAAGGTTAAATAATCTGTTGTTACTGGATTATAAGAGTTTAAAGTTGGCAAATTTTCAAGATGGCGGAATCTACGTTTTTCGGGCTTTTCGTAAAATATCAATATCTCGGCGACTATGCAACTTTTTGATTTGCGCCTTTTACCAAAATTCATTAAAATATTTGGTCTAGAAGAGCTCCTTACATTGGAAAAGTTTTAAGAACATCGATTGAAGGCTACTCCGCTGTAATAGGTCGTGGCTTACGTACAATGGCTCTAAAGAAAATCCATACAAATGTGAACAAACGAATAGTGTAGTTTCTCTTTTATTTCTGTTCAAATCGAATTCGTGAGTTATTTGAAAAAAAACTCTCATTATATCGAGCTAAAAAGGGAGAACATATTGGAATAAAAGATGTTTTTCGCTCTTAAACTCTGCTTAATTATGGTAATGTTTCAACAAAGTTATGAACTAAATTGTTATGGTTGTGGCTATGCTTATTGTACACCAACATCATCAAGTGGTTATACTGTTTGCAAGGTAATGTTCTTTTCTGAGGTAGTTTTCTTGATATCTTAAAATGTTTTATTTATAGACGTTAATAAGTAGGAGTACAACGGCTTCAATTGCTGGTTGTGTATCTTATTCATCTATTGTGGCTGTTCTGGGTGATACATCAGCAGGCAATTGTGGTACAACTACAACAACAACTTATACTGGTTATACGGTTTATTTAACTTACGGATGTTGTTATACAACAAATTGTAATACATGTCCATCTACCGGATGTATGTTAACACAATCAAATACGACATGTGAAAATAATGCTGTTGCTCTTAATTCACTTGTAATATATGCAATATTATTAGAACTTTTCATATTATATATCATATTTTATGCCTTCTCCTAATGTTAGTCTATCATCATAGATATACCAATCAAGAAAAATAGTTTTTTAACGGGTGGACCAGAATAAATGTCACTCTCTGTATTTTTTGAATATTTCTTTTCCCTTTTACAATAGAAATTTATTTTCTTTTGCAAACGATTCCTCGTTTAATTCTGCACCAGATGCTTTATTTTTATTTAACGTAAATAGTTGCCATCATTTTTCAAAATTCGATACATTCTTTTGCTAAAATCTTCACAACTTTTTGACAACAGGCAATACTTCATCGATATATCTGACATGATCCAAGGTACCTTTCTCGAAAATAACCAAAGATGTCAACCCTTTGGAACAGGTACCCAACCAGACCGTTACTTTTACCGGATATTGATGTTTTTGTTTGACACTACCTTTATCATCAGCTGCCGCACAATTAACTGCCTAAATGTGTTCGTTTTGAGAATTGTAAACGCCATTCAAATCAAAATACTTTTCGTCTGAAAACAAAAATTTTCTTGTTGCATCTTTTCTGAAATTTTGTATCCAAACTGCAAACTTTTTTCTTGCGACTTTTTGTGTATCTGTGATTGCTGGTTCCTTTACAACCTTGTATGCCCAATATCCAAGATCCTTTTTAAGTATTAGGTGAACACTTGTTCGTGAAATCGACAGTTCAGCATCCAGTTTTCTCGATGACACTTTTGTCTTGCGATTCAAGCGTTGTTTAATTTTGGCTATTTTACCCTTTGTTCGAATTGTACGTTGGAAACCTGGCGGTTTTGATAGACTGATAGCCCCATTCATATTAATCATTTTAATCTTACGGTGATTTGTATGGAGACTGACAACGCCTAATAATTTACGAAATATTGTTGTAGGAGATTCGCCGTTTTCATAACTGCAAAGTACAAGTTTTTGAATGTCTTTACTTTTCATTATCTAAAAATACATAACCGCAAGCGACAGATAATAAAAATATACCATCTTGTGAAGAATCAAAGGAGGAATCGTTTGCAAAAAAAATTAGATTTCTATTGTAAAAAGGAAAAAAAAATATTCAAAAAATACAGAGAGTGATATTTATTCTGGCCCACCCGTTACTACAGATTCACTGAATATTTAATTTTTTTATGTTTGAAAACCTTACGAAGGACCATCATCAACTGCCCAACTCCAATTTCAACGATCTTTTAGCCGACAGATACTATATAGTGTCATAGTGACACTAGCGCAGTTAGATGCCTTCTATTAGTACAGAAAATTTCAGCCTGCCTTTCTGATTCTGAGTTGTAGGATTTTTCTGACGAAAAGTGATTTTTATGGAACGTTGGGTTTTCAGGCAGTTGTGACCGCCTGAAAGATTTCCAGATCCTGTATAAACAGGATAGAGAAGAGCCTCAATACACTATATTCTGAAGTTTTGAATTTTTTGTGATGTTTTTTGAGAGAATAGCGGCAGGATGAAATTTTCTGTACCGATAGAAGACATCTGACTGCACCACAGAAAAAAAATTCAACTCTTTACTGTGTTTTCTGGCAGAGCTGTGAATCTTTTAAAATATAGACAAGGCTCTCGACCGGGAAAATAGAAAAATTCTTAACTTTTTACAGAAGAGCCATACGCCCAATTTCTTTTTAGGGTTATCACTATGACACTATATAGTATCTATCGGCTAAAAGATCGTTGAAATTGGAGTTGGGCAGTTGATGATGGTCCTTTGTTAGCTACAGTTCAATAGTTTGAATAATTTTTTAATTTTCGTTGTTTCGTATTGTAAAAACCTATTGAACACCGACGACACATCCCAAATGATAATAATGGACTCAGCTCATTCTACAGAAGTGCACCTTTCATCAATAAAATTTTAATAACAATAATCATATCAATACAAAGCTATTTATACGTAAGATCTGTAAACACTAATGAAATTGCTGCCGACAAATAAATTTTGATTGTGCTGATTGTCCGAAAACATGATCGCTTCGTATGAACTGTAGTCGAAATTCAAGCCGCTGATTGAGCCAATAATAATTAATAATGATGGTCAATGTTGAATAGAGTAGTATCGAAAGAACTTTCAATCTGCTGCTGGAAAATTTACTCTCTAAAGTTTTAATTTCAGAACGAAAATTGAATGTCTGATCAATCGAAAAGAGGACATTTGTGTGATTTTCGTTTAAAACCAGCTGATAGGACAATTATTCCGTCAGCATATTGCATCACCATTGGTGTACTTAGTAAAGGCTTCGCTTGTGACAAAAAAAATGCACAATTTAGAAGCATACGAATATTGCTGGCCGCTGGCAGGCCCCATCATTATTAGAGACAAGTGCATACTCAGACATTGGGCACAACTATAATCAATTAGAGCGGAAGAGGAAGCAGTTTATTTTGGTTGCAACGAGTTGGATTTAATGTCAAAGATTTTCTTTGGGCAAGGGAGTATGTGTATCTCGAATTGCATTACTAAAACATAAAAAGATCATCTTGTATGAATATAAAAGTCATCAAAGGTTTGGGACCTTCCCCCGTTTTTCCTTTATTTCTTTTTCAACAGCACAGCATTCTCCTTGAAAACACTTATTTCAAATTGAAGTACCTAATTTTTTTACGTCGGTCATGAGTAGAGACCTGCAACCCGATCCGAACGGATCAAGATGGGGTCGGGTCGGGTTCGACTTAAAAGTCGACAAGCGGGTTGAATATTTGGCGACGCAATTTATAATATAAATAATATTTTTAGCTTTGTATTACTGGTTGAGAGTTGTCTCTACTGGAATTTCCAGTTGAACGACTTGTTTCAGAATAACTGCATTCACTAAGTTGATTAATGATTGCTTTCTTTACCTATAAGAGAGTGCTTCCTGCACTGAAATCAATGGCAATACATCCCTTACTGCTTTTTTTCAATGTACTGTTTTACACACCCGTACTGACCAATGAGAAAAAGGATGTGGTCATCATCTCGGTTAAGATAATCTATTGACAAAGTGTACCAGGAATTTTCAATAGATTAACCTTTTAGACAAAACGACCAATCAGACGTCGTTCAAAAATTTTTTTTTGAACTACGAGATTCTACAATATGCACCAAACAACTTTTGTCTAACAAGGCAAGTCTATATTCTTTCTCAAACACAGTTTTCTGGTGAGATTGTTTTCATCGGATCGGGTCAGGCTCGGGTTCGGGTTAGGTGTTCTTAACCCGTGCAGGTCCCTAGTCATGAGTCATAGTTCCTTAATTCACACAATAAAAGACTGGAACAACTTAGCCCCCGATATTATGACACTTTCTTCCCATAACTGTTTGTTTCTAAAATACAACAGTTCCTCTAAGAACTATTAATAGTAATGTGTGTCTCCCCTCTTTCTCTCGTTTTCTTCTTTCCTTGCTTTATTCTATAATATAAAGTTCCTTTCGCATAAAAGCGTCACTGTTATGTGGGAAGCAAAGAAAAAAATTGCTGACTGACCTGACGTTTCATACGTTTTACTGTAATTATGCACCGCTTACATCATAGGTGAATTAAGCAAGTTATTTACGAGAAATGAAAAAGAAACTTTTTTGCCGAGATCTGGAATCGAACCAGAATCTTAGGATCTTCAGTCCCACACTCTCACCATTGCGCTATCCCGACAATGCTCTATGAACTTTATTGTTCATTTTATGGTTTGGCTTAGTTTGGTAGAAAACGTCATTTCTATGCATTGTGAATCCGTGCCGTATTATTATTCAGGTAGCAGTGTCACATCGTGCACGAGATTTATGGAACCGCCTATCAAATTATAAATTGCTTGTACGGAAACATGAAGGTATTTTACGGTTTTTACGAGTGTCGAAATCTTTAGAAGATTTTGTTTGGAAGATTAGATTACAAGGCCACCCCAAAAAGTTTGATCCGCCAGGCGGCTTCGCTGATCAAGTTTCTGAAACATTCTTTTTTGATATCGAAAGTTTTGAACAGATGATTAGGTTCAGTTTTTTATTCTAAGAACCCGTTTGAAACTAGTTTTCCAAAAATGTTCATTTTTCATCCAAAAAAACCTAGTTTTGAACTTTTCAGAAACCGGATTTTCAATGTTTCAACCCAAAACATTTTTTGAAAATAAATGTCTAAAAATGTGCTTTTGTACAGAATTGAGAGAATTGAATTCTCTACAAAATGGCTTATTTGTTTTCGAGTTTACTTGCAATGTACGATTTGTACATAGTTGTACAGTTTCCGACTTACTGTCCAGTTTTTCAGCTCTTATTTTGATACAGCAACTTGATTTTTGCGCAGATGGATCAAACATACAAAGAACACAGGAAGTTGTGAAAATCAAAACTTTGCCATCGTGTTAAGTGCCTCAAATATGCTTGACAAAAAAGTGCGTAACGCTGTGACGCTTATATTTTGTGTTTTTCAGGCAAATCTAATAACCTAGGTGTAACATATTTTTACCATTAGAAGGCCCGTGAGCTGCTCTACAGGACCGGCTCAAGGAATATTCCGTTTGGAGAACTACTTTCGCAGCAAATCAGGATTTTCGTAGCAGCACTCTCAAAAAAGGATCTTTTTTAGTAACGCTGTGAAGCAACACTAAAATCCTTCTCAAAGCCTAATGCAACATCCAAAAACATTCATTTTCATAGCATAAATAGAACATAATGAATTGCGTCGATCGACGTTTGAACGAACTTTCTAGCTACGTTAATTTCCGAGATAACCGAAGTTTAGTGCGTCAAAAACGTAACACCCTGACGTTTGGACAAGCCACGGCATAGAATAGAATGTCATGCCTTTCGAAAGGGAGGGAGCGTATATTAGGAAACAATTTAGATGCGGATTATTTAGATAAAGCTTATTTCGAAATGGCCTTTTAGCCTTTTTACTGCCTCGATATATACTATCGATTGGCATATGAGGGAAAGAACTGAGTTGGACATCTCAAAGGGGACCCTCATAAGCTCATTAGTTAGACTATATAATGAAACCAATTTTCGCTGTTATTGCATTTTGTTGTGTTTCGTTAAAAA